GGGGGGGGGCTGCGGCCCCCTCCCCCTAGTTTGCACCTATGGGTATATGAATTAAGTTTATACTTGGTTTTTTTTACTTCTCGAAAAAAAAAATTAACCTCTAAATACCGGTATTAACCGGTACCAGAACCGAAACCTTAATTCTGTAATTTTAAGAACCGGAATCGAAACCGGTACCGAATTTTTATTTTTTTGAAGAACCGAATTGGAACCGAAACCGAAAAAATCATAAAGGTTCCAAGCCCCGTTTCTTTCATTTAATCTGGGCTCATTGCATATCTCTAATCAAAGAATGATCTCCGTGTACTAGCTAAAACTACATAATAATAGCTATTTACTTTCATAAATGTATTTGTATTTTTATTGAATATTATTTAAAGTGAMCTATAAATGATTGTATAGAGCCTGTACATTGTGAAAAGGGTCCAAGAGCATGCCAATTATCCGTGAAGCTTGTTCGCCGTATCAAACAACATGCTTACGCTGAACCAAAATATTTGGGAAGCCTGATATGCAGTTTATATGGAGAATCAATCTTGCTGGCGAAAATAGTAAGTTAAAAAAATAATAGTGTTTAACCATTTTGTCATACATAACATTGTAAAATGATGCATTATTTTTATTCTAAAATTTTAAACATGAAACAATGTTAAGGGAAATTATAATTTGCACCGTATCACAGGTAACCGTAATTAGTGTGTGTATTTTCACTAAAATAAAGGTATGTGATTTGTATCATCGTAAGTAGTCGAAAATTATTTTTCTAATTTGCACAAAAATKATTATGTATATTGACCAAAGCTAGGATTTTATAGTACTAAAAATAACTAAAATATGCGCTATATTGTGCCCTAAAGACATGAAAAATACCAAACAACAATTAAAATTTATGTCGCTCACAATTTAAAATTAGTATTTGAAAGTATTTTTTTTTTAATTTAATCTATACCTACTCAACCTGAACTTCATAGTTTGTTTTTGAACCAAAGTTGTTGCCAAAGGCGTTTCGTCAGATTTGGAAGAAACTCAACGATGGCGTGACACCGGTTGAGGTAGCTAATAGCTTATTGTTGGTGGAGATGGGCTGTCTACGACTTAGGGAAGGAGCATCTTTACTAGTCAAAATGATGGAAATCCCTGAACAAATGGCTAAGTGCTACATAGAAATGTTTATACAATATGTGTACGAACAAAAAAATGTAAGTATGTGAATATTAAAATAATATATTGGTTATTATTTAGTTCAATATTTTATAAATCTACGAATTTATTTAAACTTGATTAATAATAAAAACGGGGGGTTTATATAATTGTATTTATGTGGGATTATTGTTAAAAAGTGTCATTACTGACAATAGATTTAGGTACTCAATAAAATAAATCAGATTATGAAATATCTTATGCCAAATTTAAAGTCGATCATTGACATTTTGAATATTAAACAAATTAATATATATTATAATAGCTTATAAGAACGAAAATATTGCTATCAAATAATTTTTGGATTTTGACTAAAGTCATGTTATTCCGTTCAATAAATATATCAAATTTAATTTTGAGTTGATTGTTCATTTTTTCACTGTCTAATATATTATAATTGTAAACTTTATTAAAAGTTAAAAACTGTAACTATATAGTGGTACTTGCAGGTATCTATATAAATATATAATACTTTTCATACTTGACTGATGAATTATTTAAAAATAAACCCGTGTTAAATACTTATAAGTGTTAACGGTACTTATAACCAACGTTATGTAAATTTATTATAAGTTCATCGATTTCAATTCAGTTATATAATATTCAGACCATCAAGCTCATAATATATCGCCACTTACGCGATAGGAATACTTAGTTTTCATCGACTCAAATAAAAATATGCAATAATACTATAATAGGTATTAAGTATATACTAAATGACTATCAATATATATAACTACTGCCGTATTATAATATATTGGTAATTACTAATTGGTGTAAAGAATTCGTAAATATATAACATTATGTCGATTGTATATATTACTATTTGTACAAAGTTTTTGTGTGAATTCAAATACCTACCTACATTAAAAAAAAAAAATATTTAATAATTTTAATACTTCCCCGAGTTCCACAGTTATAACAGCATAAGACATAAGTTGTAATTAGTAATACTTCAGTTTGATTAAATTTAGAAAGCTTCTTGTTGAAATACATTTTAGTAAAAATCGCCCAATGCAACAAATATTAGGTGCTTACATACATATTTTGATTTCTAGACTACAATAATAATTAAAAAATATAGATTTAATTATAAATTGTATAGTTTGTACTTAGAAGTTCGTTACAATTTAA